GAGTAAACAAGAAATCTAAGAACAACTGGAATAAATGACTATCTATACTGTCTAGAAATTTATAGATTAACGAATAATTTAGTTTAAATAAAAAAAAAATAAATTCTAATTAAGTAAGTATTTTAAATTAGATTCAAAAAATGATATTATACTTTTTTATTAATTTAATTTTTAAATACTAAAATTATTATTAATAGTTTATCATTATTAATAATCTAAAAAATAATAAATTGTTAAAAATAATTAAAAAAATAATAACCAATTTAAAACTTTTTAGAAAGTGTTTAATCTATTTAACAATTTTCTTTTGAAATATTTGTTTAATTAAAATACTTTTCTTTATAATATTTTAAAAATTTAATTATTTTAAATAGTAAAACTTTAAAAGAATATTTAAAAAACTTAATTCTTTATTAATATATAGATTTATTTATTGTATTAATATTATATTGTACAAAAAAATTATATTAATACTTTTGTTTAACTGAATAAAAGTCTAAAGATTTTAATTTTTATTCAATAATGTCTTTTTATTATTTAAGAACTTAATAGAGAATAAAAATTCATTATATTTATTTATTATTTACTTTTTATATTATAATTGTTTTTTAAAAAATGTAATGAATTGCTAAGGTATTTTTTAATTATTAATAATATTATTATATATTAATATAATTAATAGAAATCTATATATATTTTAAAAATCAAGATGTTTTATATTAATCAATTATTTTTTTTAATCTTATATTATATAAAAAATTTTGTTTACTTTAGTTTTATTCTAAATTTTAAAAAAATTATAAAAAAGTTCTAAGATGGTATATAAAATTGATTAAAAAAATAAATTCTTTTATTGCAAAAAAAAAAAAAAAAAAAAAAATCTTTATAAAAATTTTTTTTAAAGATGAAGTGATTTTTGATTATTTTATTATTTAAAACCTTTTACCATTGATAGTAAAGATATTATTTAACTTTTTTTATTATTAAAATTTAAGTTTTGTTCAAAAATATTTGTAAATAAGAAAAAAAGTATTATAATAACTTTTGAAAAGTTGATTTAAAATAGTAATAAGACTATTTAGTCAAAAAGTTTAAATTTTTTGATAAATATCTTTTTTATATAGGATTAGATAATTAGTAGAAAAAGTTTATATAAAAAATTTATTTTAGTTATTGAATAAAATTATTATGATATAATTTATGAAGAACAATGCTAAAAAATTTTTTAAAAACTATAATTTATTTTTTTTTTCAAAAAATTAAGATATAACAATTATATTATATTAATCTTTTAATTAAGTCAATAATTAAATATTATTTATTTTTTTTACTCAATTAATTTCATTATATTCCATTTACTGTATTTTATAAAGATTATTGTTATAATCATAATAAAATTATTGTTTTAATAAAGTCTTGTGTTCATTGCTTATTTATCGATCTTATAGAATAATTTATCATTTTTTTATATCTAAGTTATTATTGTAAAAATGAATAAAGAATTTTAAAAATAAAATATTGATATTTTTTCTTTAAAAAATTAATAAACACAGTACTGTATATGTTAAAAACCTGCAGTTACGTATGATATTGACTGAAACTCGGAAAATTGTTAATTCATTTTCAAACGCAAATATTTGTTTTGTTTACTGTAATTGTATGCACGTGCAATAATCTTTCTTGCCTCAATGAGATGCACAGCGATAATCGGGATTATTGTAAAACTATTAAATTGTTTTATTTGTTCAATTCATTTTTTTTTTTTTTTTTGATAATCATAAATCGTGCCATAAATAATTATTTGAAAGTTTATACATACTGTATATAATCATTATTATTAAACTAGATATTACGTCATTTTTTAACTGAATCAACAAAAGTATTTGTAGCGCGAACTGGTTCAAAAGAATGCTAAGTGCTTAAAGAATTTAGTATACAAAAAAAAAAAAAAAAAAAAATGCATGTTTGATGCAACAAAGGTTTGCACGTAGAGTATATTTTATTTTTTTACCAATGTATATCAAAGATACTGCGGTATCTAGCTTATCGTCGAAGGGTCATTACGTTTTGACAAAAGTCAATAGGTGAAATTATATAATATATTATCCCAGAACCACAACGGTTCTTCACAGTTGCCGAAATCATTATAATTAATGGGCAAGTACTGCTCCTCAGTTCCAATGAATTCCTCAGGGTAAAGTGAATTTCCAAATTCGGACTCAAGGTTAAGAATCAAGTTTTCGCAGCAAGATGTGTCTGACTTGATGGGTTCGATTTCAGAAATAGTGGGAGATTCTTTGTTGCTCTTTTCTTGCCAATGTATGAATTTGCGATATGGAGGTTGTGTTTGTTCTTTTCTAAGTTGGCATAGTTTCGTATCGACCCTTGAAGCGATTTTTTTGTATTCATCGCGAGTTTTTTCGTCCTCGTTGCGCCAGTGAATACTTGCCAATCTCGAGACTTCAACCATAGATAACCGGTAGTTGCATCGTGAAAGCTCTTTTACAAATACACATCGATATATGAAAAACCCATTCAAGCCCTTTTTTCCAATCCTTTCACTCGGACGGTTAATAAATTCCTCAATTGATATTTCTGAAGTGTCTGGCATCTGTATGCGCAGAGGAATAGGATCCATATTGATATTTTTTGATAATAATTTTTTAGGGTATGAGGACTTGTGTACTTGTGTTGAAGATTGAAGTTGAAAAGTGTATTCCATCTTTTATATTTAGGGATTCTTGTACAATTAATTTTTAAATAATATTTTGATAGAGCAGAAGCCTGGGTGAGCACACGTATTTATTACGCATAAGCAAAAGACGTGAAGTGTTTCGGTTCTTAATGAGCCTATCATTAATCTGGAAATATCGATCACAAAGCTGCCATTTAAGTACAATAGAATGAAATAGGAAAAGACGTGTGTATTGAACGTGCATGCAACTATTGTTATTTAAGGTGCGATAGAATTATTCTCATAGTTACAGTAGATTATTGTTATTATTTATCATTACCTTATATATCCTTCATAAGTGCACAGAGACTCCGCATTCTCTTTGCCAAATCCTCTTAAGTAAATATTAAAACTGCGTGTGGGTATCTATGCAAGCCTCAATAGAATTATGTGTGCCTCAATAGAATATTCACAAACACAAACATCACAACATAAAATTGTATGATATACATACGGTTACAGTGTTACACGATATTTTCCAGTTATGGCGCAAGCCTTTGATAGCACATCAATCGAAGCCCTCATCGAGTATGGATCTATTAAAAGCAAGTCCATAATTTATTTATGTGAAAGATGAATGGTGAAAAATGGAAAAATGACAAGGTGGGCATACTTATAGGGAAAATAATACGAACTCATGTCACAGTAATTCCGATGATTTGCGTATTTAAAGCAAACTGTTTGTTATTCGAATAATCGATTTTGGACTTGTTTTTCCAAATATCAGGCTTTATTTTAAACCTGATAAATATGCGTGAATATAAAGTTTCCCTCGTTTTAAAAGTATCGTCAATAACATTATTTATTGAGGCTCGCAATACCCGATAATCGGTCTTACTAAAATTTTGAGATTAAATCAGATATAATAGAATATACCGTGTTTAAGATGACGCAATCAAGCATGCAGTATAATAAAACAATTATTTAATTTCAGAAAAATTTTTTATCGTTATACTATGAAGTTTTCAAAAATAAATAAATAAATAAAATAGCGAATATACAATTCTCTTGAGTATTGTTTCATATATTCCTTAAAAACTTTCCAGATATTTTATTTCGGATTTTAAATAATTATTATAAACTCAATCTTTAAATTTTTAATTTTTCTTTATTATTATTTTTTTTAATCTGCAATTATGACATCATGGCATGTCTTTATTGAGATATTAAATAAATATCTGCAATGTTAAGTAGACTTTTAAATAATAATTGGCTCATTTTTTATATATTATTAATTAAAGGATTACTTTACTTAATAAGGGAAGTTATTAAACTACTTGAATCAAAAAAATAAAGTCTCAATTATATACTCTAAGTTAGATTTAGAGAACAATATTTCACTTTCTTAATAAATTAATATTAAATCCTTTTTTTATTAAAATCATTATTTTCAATTTATTATTATAGATTTGAAAAATAATAATTGTTAATTAATGAATTAAAAAAGGAAAATAAAAAATAAAAAAAATAATTTAAAATCCTTAAAAGTTTTTATTCAAATAAACAATATCCTCTTAAAAGGAATTTTTTTATTGAAATATTCTCTAGTTTCAAACTATTTAAAAAACTTATCTATAAACAATTAAAATTAAGTACAGTTTAAAAAACTTATCATCTTGTGTTTTTCAAATAAAAATTCTATTTTATATATTTTATTTGTGAAATTTGAACTTACAATCTGATCAAATAATAATATTAATAATATTCAATTTTATCTGATTAAAATAAAAACTTATAAATTTTAGCTTTTTTTGTAAAAATCTTTTTATAATCTGAAAGCTTATTTGAAAATATTAATATTATATATAATGTTTTTTATTTAGCTTTAATATTATAATTGCTTCATTTAAAAATTTATTTGATTTAAAGAAAATAATTTTATAGACTTTTCTTTTTTATTACTAATTATATTATTTATATATATAATTGTAATCAATAAAACTTATTTATATTTCAAAATAAATATATTTTATATTTATTAATTATTTTTTGATAAAAATTATATTATTTAATTTTTTTTTTTTTTTTTTGTACAATAACAGATCCACTTTATTAGGTATAAAAAAGGTACATATTACTTTAAATTACAAAGTGAATTTGTTATCTATTTTCTTTATGTGTTTTTCCCCTTTTACCTTCTAAGAAAGCCAGTTTGTTAAGCAAACCCCCTGTGGCTTGTTGTCTCTTATGAAGAAACTAACGTACCTAGGCTCCATTAGTGTACCTTGAGTATATGTTGAAAATGGATGTATTTCCATTGATTATATTAGTAATTAGGCTTGTGTTTATTTCTGCTACTATATCCTGGATATGTTGATATTGGGCTTTTTTCCATTTCTGTTTTTTCTTTATTAGTGTGATGCTGTTGTGTTCGTTATTTAGTTTCTATTTGTGGAAATGATAGATCTGCCTTGTCATATATTGAAGGTAATGATTGGATGCATCTGATTATTCCCTGGATTGTCTCTTCTATTTTGCTTCCCTTTAGCTGTGAGATGATAAGTTGGATGATATCTTTAGTAATTTCACCTCTTATGATAAAGTCCTAGGTATTGTATTTGTTTGCTTTTTCGAATACTTCAGCTTTGATGTTTGTTGTTGAAGGTTTTTCCATTCTTGCTGAGATTTGTCTGTTGATCGTATTGGTGATAAGATCTTTGGCATCTAGACCATGTACTTTGCATAGAAAGAGGTGGTTGTGATTCTCTGTATTATAACATCTGAAACATTTACTTGTGATGTATATACTTGGGTACCGTTTGTGTAGTGTTATCATTATTGGAAGTTCTTTATTCCATGGTTTTAGTGTTTAAAAATTTAAGATTAAATAAATTTTTCAAAAAACTATAAAATAAATATTATAAAAAAAATCAAAATAATTTATAGAAGAAAAAACAAGTCTTTATATTATAAAACATTTATAAATATTTATCTTTAAAGATAAAAAAGTCTTTATATTTTAAATCAATATTAAAATTTTAAATTATTTTGCATATAAAATTTTATAGAGAAATAAAATTTATAATTTTTCACTTTAATATAAACAAAATTTAAAAAATAGCATAAATTAATAATTAAACAATAGAAAATTATTATAAATAGTTTTTTTATAGTTATTAATTTATAAGCTTTAATATTAATATAGATAATTATTTTTAAAGATGAAATAAAAATTTTTTGGATCTAAAATTGTAATCTCAAAATTATATTTTAAAATATAATTTAAAATTACAAAATTTTATATTTATTAGTTTTATTAATTAAAAATATATTAAAAATTTTTAAAAATCTTAAAAAATATATATAAACTATCAAATAAATTATAGAAATATAAATTAAATATAAAGTAGAACTTGTATAAAAGGAAAAAAGTCAAACTCAAAACCATAATAGCTATTACCTATATTTTAGATTCTACTTTATATTATTATATTATATTTCTATAGAAATAAAAAATTATGTATTTTTTTTTTCTGCTAATCCCCTTTTTCCTAAAAATTTCCTTATTTGATAATTTTCTTGGAAAAGAAAAGCCTGTCTCAAAAGCACTTTATCCTTTAAAGATTTAGGACTTAACAACAAACTACAACAGTCAACCACCTTTCCAAAGCTCCC